GCTGTCTTCCTCACTTCAAGCTCAGTGCTCTATCCGTGGTGCCACCTAGCTATCTTGGAAGGAAGTCTCTGGCAAAGAGTCCTGGGAATTTGTGCCCTTAAACAATTTTATCTTATTTTTTATATTCAATTGCATTTTTAGCTCCACATTTTCTCCCTCTCACCTTTTTTTCCACAACCCCCACCGCAAACTGAGAAAGCTAGAAAAATGAAACCCATGACAGTCATGTACAGTCAAGCAAAACAGTCTTATGTTGGCCATGTCTCTGTCTCTCTGTCTCTCTCACATACACACATATACACACACACACACTGAGTAGACTGTTTTTCCTTTTGGATGTGAGTAGCGTGTTTCATCATGGAATAAGGTACCTGTTTTCTCACAGCCTCCCTAGCATTTATCATTTTCCTTTTTTGTTAACTTTGGCAATCTATGAGCTAGTATCTGTTTTAATTCACATTTCTCTCCCTGGGATTTGGAGCATTTTTTTTTTCACGTGGCTATTGATTGTTGGATTCACATCCACTTATTCACATCCCATGACCATTTATCAGTTCCATCCTCTGAAATTGTGGTCAGTCCTTGTGTGGATCAGAGTTCCTAAGTTTTACAAAGTTTGTAACAATATTGTTGTTGTAGAAATTGTTCTCCTGATTTTGCTCACTTTACGTTGCATCAATTCATATGTCTTCCTAGGTTTCTCTGAAACCATCTCCCTCATCATTTCTCACAGCACAATAATATCCTGTCATTCATATACCATAACTCGTTCAGCCATTCCCCAGTTAATGGACACACATCAATTCTTTGCCACCATGAAAAGAGCTGCTATAAATACTTTTGTATATGTGACATCTTTTCTCTTCCTCTTTCTTTGGTCTCTTTGGGGTATAAACCTATAAGCAGTATCACTGGGTCAAAGAGTGTGCACAGTTTAATAGCTTTTGGGACATAGATACAAAGGCTCCACCCACAATTCACTAATGTACCTATTTTCCAACAGCCCCTCCAGCTTTGTCATTTTCCTTTGTTGAGAGTGAAACTGGTAAGGACTGAGGCAACTAGATCTGAGCATATCATTAGCAAGGCTTCCAGTTGCATAATAAATTGGGTCCAAGGCAGTAGGTACAAGGACATCACTTGGCACTTACCAAAGCATTCTTATAGTCAATAATAAGGAACCAATCCACTTACACTATCTTGAGTAACATAAGCCTTCTCTCTGATGGGCCAGAGTTTTACAAATTTTGTGGTTATTTCAAGAATATTCTGGTGCATTCTGTGGTTATTACAAAAACATACCACAAGACATGTGGACCATCTTGTGGTTAGCACTTACTAACCCAATTTCCTAGAATTATATCAACATCTCATTTTTTGTTCAGTTGTGTCCAACTCTTTATGATCCTTTTTGAGGTTTTCTTGACCAAGATATTATAGTAGTTTGATATTTCCTTCTCTAGCTCATTTTACAGAGGAGGAAACTGAGGCAAACAGGGTTAAGTGACTTACCCAGGGCCACACAGTAAGTGTCTGAGGCCAGATTTGAACTCAGGAAGAGGAGTCTTCCTGACTCTAGTCTGGGCACTCTATCCACTGCACCATCTAGCTGCTCCTCATTTCCCCATAACCATGTGATTTACAGCAAAGCAAGACCTAGCTCACAAAATAGAAGGCAATCACAAAGTGGAAAGAACCAAACAACATGTAGTCAGTTTGGGGTTCCACACCTTTTTTGTCAAATTTATCAGTCTGATGGGTGTGAGGTGGTAGCTGAAAGTTGTTCTGATTTGTATTTGTCTAATTATTAGTAACTTAAAGTGTTTTTTCATATGGCTATTGATAAGCTTAGATTTCTTCTGAAAATTACTTATTCTTATCATTTGGCTATCAGTTGGAGAATGGCTCTTATTTTTATAAATTGGAGTACATTCCTTGGATATCTTAGAAATCAGATCTCTATCAGAGAAATTTTCTGGAAAAAGTTGTTAAATGATTTTACCAACGACTTGAATAAAGGCATTTTTGGTATGCCCAACAAACATGCAGATGATAAAGTGCTTGGAGAGATAACTAACACACTAGAGACAGGGTCAGGATCCAAAGATCTCCACAGGCTAAACCATTGTGCTGAATGAACCTAATAAGATGGGACTGAAGATGGATAAGATAAATGGCAAGTCATTTCATTTGTGTCCCACTCTTTGTGACCCTATTTGGGGTTTTCTTGACAAAGATACTGAAGTGGTTTGCCATTTCCTTCTCCAGCTCAGTTGACAGATGAGGAAATTGAGGCAAACAGGGTTGAGTGACTTGCCCAGGATCACACAGCTAAGAAGTGTCTGAGGCCAAATTTGAATTCAGGTCTTCCTGACTCCACGCCCAGTACTCTATCCAGTGAGCCACCTAGGTGCCTATGATACCTGGTTAGACACCTAGAAAACAGGCTCTACAAAGGATTGGGGATCCCACCCAAAGTAACAGAGGTGCCACTTGGACTCTACATAGGTTGGTTTTAACATTCTGCCCCGGCAGGGTTAAGACAGAAACAGGAACAAGAAACAAAAACCAAACTTTCTTTCAGTTCATAGGAGCTGATGATTAAGAACCCTACCATCATTTCAAGAAAACCAGGGATACAGACCTACCAATTGTAATTTTGCAACTTCCTCTCTGGTTTTTAAATCCCTAAGTGTTTCACTTCTTAAATAAACGTTGTACAAGCTTATTCAGGACAGCAGAAAGCCAGAGAAGTCTGTAGCAAAGCACATTTGCATGTGAAAAGCAAGAATTTAGGACGAAGGATTTGAGGTGGAGTATTATAACTCACAGCAATTCTAACTTGCCTCCCCCAGCCTATTCATTTGCATGTCATACCCAGAGGATTTGGGTCGGGGCAAGGGGAGAGGGTGAAGGAGGATGCTTTGTCTTTGTAGCTGTTTAATTATGTCCCATTCTTTGTGACCCCATTTGGGGTTTTCTTGGCAGAGATACTGCAATGGTTCGCCACTTCCTTCTCCAGTGCATGTTGCAGATGAGGAACTGAGGCAAACAAGGAGAAGTGACTTGTCCAGGGTCACACCTCTAGTATGTGCCTGAGGCCAGATTCCCTGTTCAGGAAGATGAGTCTTCCTGATTCCAAGCCTGGTGCTCTATCTACTGAGCTACTCAGCTGTCTGATGCTTTAGACCCTTACAGACTTTCCTCCTTGTTGGAATGCAGCTCCCCAAAAATGGTTGGAGGGGAAAAGCAAGTTGACACTCAATAACTGATTGGTCCTAAAGGAGCCTTTCTAACCCTAGTCAGACCCTAACTAGGGACTTTCTTAGTTCAGGACAGAGACTTTGAATCTTTCTAGTAAATGGAAGTCACATCAAAAGTAAAAGTATAGGTTCTAATCATAGAATCATAGCAGTAGAGCTAGAAGGAACTTCAGAGGCTATCTAGTGCAACCCCATTTTACAGATGAGGAAATTGAGCCCCAGGAAATGACTTAACCAAAGCTCACATTTGTGGCCACATTCTCTGCCTCCCAAATCAGGTCTCTCTCCAAGGGACCATGCTGCCTCCTGGCTGCCCCAGGCTCCAAATAAAACGACTCCGGGAACTAAGTTTCTGCTTATTGGTGTGCATTTAATTCACAGTTAAATGCTTGCTTTTATTAATACAACCAGAGGAATTTTAGTCTCTGACCTGAGGGAAAAAGAGAGGGACACAGATACAGAGATGGCAGAATTGACGGCCTCTTCTGACTCAGAAGAGATGCATCTCAGTTGAAGACTACAGCTGTCTTGTAGGGAGAGCAGTCCAATGGAGACAGAGGTGGGCAGCCCCAGAAACTCATGGCATGAGTGAGTGAGGGAGCTACAGAGAGATAATGCACAGTGGATAGAGTGCCCAGCCTGGAGTCAGGAAGACTCATCTTCCTGAGTTTAAATCTAGACTCAGACACTTACAAGCTGTGTGACCCTGGGCAAGTCACTTAACCATGTTTGCCTTAGTTTCCTTATCTGTTTAGTGATCTGGAGAAGGAAATGACAAACCACTTTAGTATCTCTGCCAAGAAAACCTCAAATGGGGTCATGAAGAGTCAGACACAACTGAACACTCAGATTATTCATTGCTAATCACTTTGAGGAGGAGTTTTTCCTAAACTGATTGGGACTGGAGTCTAGGAGTGGATTTTAAAACTGGTTAGACCTTTGATGCGATGTAAATTTTGATGTAAATATTTTAGTGCTGGACAGTGTTTCAGAATTAATAGTTAAAGAAGGACTGATAAAGTTTCTCATTCAGGTTAATCCAAAGGCTTCTAATTAGGATATTGAAAAAAATATTTTCTGAGTATTTCTAAGAGGAAATGTATGTTTTCGCAACCTTTTAGTTGAATAAATGAATGAATGACACATGGTTATTCTCAGTATTTTCCCACTTAGGACAATTTCTTGTTATCCAGAAGTAGGCATTAACAATTCTCACTTTATTAACTTTGAGGTTGGCCTTCAGCAGAATTTTAATGGCATGACTGATGAAATTCAATTTTTTTTTCACTATATCTGGGATAAATCAGAATATAGTACAGAAAAGCACTGACAAGGGTGTTGAGAGAAATCTTCTAGCCTGTGTCTAACTCTGTTGATTACCTTTGGGGGTGGGGAAGAGGGGAAGATGAGAACCTAACCTCTCCCAAGGAGATGTGTTGTCTAGAGCTTTGGGGTAAGCTTTGGACATTGGATTCCCCATTTATAAGATATAGATGATATAATATTCCCTAAGCCTAACTGCCTCAATGGGAAATGTTCATGTGAAGTTTAATCAGTCCCCAGAAATATCTTGGCCATTAGCTCCAGCACAAAGCATGCGTGTTTTACTTAGCATCTATATATACCGATAGTGCCCTCTGGTGTAACATACTCTGCACATCTTTTACCTTGCAGCCTTATGTTGTACCTATCCATGAGCACTCCATTCACAGCCTTCCTTCCTTCCTTCCTTCATAGGACCGTGGGGTTCTAGATCTAGAGATGCCAGGGACCTCAAAAGTTAGCGAGCTCAACCCCTCATTCTACAGATGGGAGAGACTGAAGCCTGAAGAGGTAAGGTGATCTGCCCAAGATCCCACAGACAGTATCAGATGTAGGAGTCAAACCCTGACTCCAGATCTGGTGCTCTTTCCACTGTACCACACTGCTTTTTTTTTTAAGGCAATTGGGGTTAAGTGACTTGCCCAGGGTCACACAGCTAGTAAGTATCTGAGGATGGATTTGAACTTAGGTCCTCCTGAGTCCAGGGCTGGTGCTCTATCCACTGTGCCACCTAGCTGCCCCCACATTGCTTTTTAAATTCAGTTTAATAAACTCTGATTAAATGCCTACCATGTGCAAGGCACTGTGCCAGGCACCAAGCGTACAAAGCCAAAAATGAAATCGTACCTGCCCCCAAGGATCTTACGTTCTGCTGGGGGATATATGTATGCAGATAAGATATTCTCTCAAAAGAAATAGGGACATAGAGGAAGACACATGATCAGTTCTGTATCAGGCATGTTGAATTTGAAATGGTAACAGGATATCCAAGAGATTCCAGAAGGCAGCCGATGATAAAGGAACTGGGCTTCCAGAGAGACATTAGTGATAAAGAGGTAGATTTGGAAGTCATTCCTGAGCCCATGGGAGCTGAAGAGATCACTAAGGGAGAGTGTATGGTGAGAGAAGACAGGTGGCCCAGCACAGAGCCCTCAGGGGGAGAGTGGCCCAGCGCAGACCCCTCAGGGGGAAGGTGGCCCAGCACAGTCCTCAGGGACACTCACACCAAAGGGCTGAGAGACAGATGGTAAACTGACAAGGGAAACAGACATGGTCAAACAGGTGGGAGGGGAAATAGGAAAAACCAATGTCATGAAAGTAAGGCAGGAAACACTATGTAGGTGGAGGGGGTGGTTTTTAGTTGAAAGCAGCTGAGAGGGAAAGTAGGAAGAAAAAAGGCCTTTGGATTTAATAGTTACCATGTTACTGGTAACCTACCAGAGTATAGTTTCAGTCAGGTCTGGTACAAAGATCTGAATGGGTGGTAGACTAGGTGCATAGAGAGGATCAGGACCCCAGACGCCAAGTTTGACCGAGAGCTAAGCCCAGTCTCCACTCAGACGTGATTTTCTGGGCAGGTGCATCTCCGTTATGCCCACGCTGAGGCAGAGCTGCCGCACCTGTGTGTTGGGTGGAGCTGCCAGAGAGCAGGCTGGCACTGCCACTTTCCAGGTGGATCACGACCAGAGCTCAGATGCTGGCCTGGGAGCCCAGGACCCTGAAAGGTGACCTCTCATCTTGTCCTGCCTGAACCAGCTCCCCATGCTGCTCCTGGCCACTCCCAGACCTAGCTCCTCTATGTATTGTCTTCCTCTCATGGGATCTAAGCCATTTATTTGAGTGTAAGGACTTGACTGGTTTTGTATCTCCACATTTATTTTTATTATTATTATTTTTTTTAGTTTTTAGGCAATTGGGGTTAAGTGACTTGCCCAGAGTCACACAGCTAGTAAGTGTCAAGAATTTGGTCTGAGGTCAGACTTGAACTCAGGTCCTCCTGACTTCAGGGCTGGTACTCTATCCACTGCACCACCTAGCTGCCCCTGTATCTGTATCTCCACATTTAAGGACACTGCCTGGCACATAGTAAGTACTTAATAAATTCTTTTCATTCATTCATTCATTCATTCATTCTCTAACCAGATTGTCTTCCTAACCCAGACCTGAACTTCTTACCATCTCCACTCCCAGCTCCCTGGTACTTGAATATCTAATACCTATATCAATTATCTCTATCTATATCAGATATCTAATAGCCTACATCATCATTATCATCATAGGACCTTAAGACGCTCAAGAGTGGGGGGTCTCAATCTTCTGCTGTTTTTCCAGTCCTGTGGTTATTGAAGCACTAGGCCTGAAGTCAAGAAGACCTGAGTTCAAATCTGGCCACAGTGACCCTGGGCAGGTCACTTAGTCTTTGTTTGCCTCAGTTTCCTCAACTACAAAATTGGAATCATAATAGTACCTTCCTTATAGGGTTGTTGTGATCATCAAGGAGGTAATAATCACAAAGTACTTAGCAAAGTGCTTGGCCCATAGTATCCACTATATAAATGTTAGCTATTATTATTAGTTTCTTATTGTTTCCATATGTTTCCATTTTAAGTAAATAGTCTCTTACATAAATTGTTGTCGTGTCTGTAACTCTGGTGAGTTGAGATTCTGAGGGAAAATGGGGCCTTGTGATGAATGGGAAATGGACTGAGACACGTGCCAGCTACCTTTAGGTACCACTTGGCAGGGCTAAATTGGTGTCAAACCATCGCCCATAACTGTACCACCTCTGTGATCTTGAACTCTGAAATTCTCCTCTTTGATCATAATCACCTGTCTTTTCATCTCTTCCTTTGCCTTACTCTGCCTAAACCCAAGTTTTCGAGAGGGCAGCCGGGTATGAGAGTGGATAGAGCACATGGCCTGGAGTAAGGAAGACCGGAGTTCAGATTTGACCTCAAACACTCACTTTGTGACCTTGGGCAAAGTCACTTACCTGCTGTTTGCCTCAGTTTCCCCTGCTGTAAAATGGGGATCATAACAGTACTTACCTTCCGGGGTTGTTGTGGACATCAAATGAAATCACATTTGTGAAGGGCCTGGCACGCACATAGTAGGCACTTAATAAATGCTTATTCCTTGGCGCAGTCCCTCTCTCTTCTCCCAGGCCATTGTCCCCACTCTGGCCTCACTTCTCTGCTTTCACAGTCTTGGACCTGTGCTGCTTTGTCACTTCGTTGGTTGCAAGCTCCCGATGTTTAACCCTTCTTTACGCCCACTATCCACTTTTTCTTCCCTTATTCCCATGCTTATGCTTTCAGAAGAAATGCAACCATGGCAACTGAGTTCACTACCAATGAATGTGATCCCATTTCAACTGGACCCACGCTACTGCAGGGAAATTATTTTATTTCTCTTTGATTGTCCCTGTGGTAGCTGCCAAAAGACTTCCTCTCTCCTAAAGTCCTGACCACCAACCCCTTCTATCTCAGCGATGGCTTTGCCTCTGACTTTACTGAGAAGTATCCATTTCAGTTGGGACATGAAATACACGAGGTGTAGTGATGCAAGATATAGCTGGAAAGGTTGAGTGGAGCCCTACTGCAGAGCCCTTGGATGCAAGGCTGAGGAGTTTCACTTTTTTCCATAGGCAAATAGGAGGCACAAAATGCTTTTAAGCCAGAGAGCACCATGGTCCTACCTGTGAATGGTGAAGAGCGTTTTGGCAGTTGCCCGGTGAATGGATCAGGGAGAGGAGAGATAAAACGAGAAAGACCAGTTTGGTGGCTGTCCTTCTGACAGTCCAGAGGGATGAGGAGGACCTGGATGAGGGCGGTGGTAGCATGGGGTGTTGGGTGGGTGGACTCCACCGTAACTGAAGTAGAGGTAAGAAGATGAGACTGAAGGAAGTCAAGAACTCCAAAGTTCTGAATCTGGGTGATTGGTAGGGTGATGGGGGTCTTCAAATGCAATCACAAAGTAAGAGGACAGCTAAGTTGAGACAGAAAGATGAATTTAGTTTAGGACATGTGATTTCCCTTTACTGTGGCCTCGCCCAAAGAGCAACTTCTAAGTGCCTTACTGACTACACAGCTCTGCTGTAAAGTTATGGGGAATGGACTTCATGGGTATGCCTAGTCCAAACATCCCTAGCAGCTGTCATATGTAGTAAGTCACACTGCACCATAGGGCTAACAGTCATCAATCGTGGGTCCGAGATGTCTCACCTTGGTTGTTGCTGACTCTCTTTATGAAGTCATTGCAAACATCATCAGGAGAGCCAGTCCCTCCTTCCATCTTTGGGCAAAAGTTACCTTCATTTGGGTGATAGAGTCAACCTTGGTTCACAACTAGTCCTTGTTGCCTTTAATCTCTTGGGCAGCTATAGTTCTTTCTTATCGTTATCTTTTCCCTTCCTCCCCTTGCTCATCTAACCCATTTCCCACCAGTTAACCCATTGTTAATCTTTAGAATGTAGCTACATCTTCTTCCCAAGAAAGCCTGTGGGACCTTAGGCTACTTTAAGGAATGCACAGTGTTTAGGACTGGGTAGGGGAGACCACTTCTAAGCTCAGGCTTGGTATTACTACATCGAGAGAATTGTATTCAGGACTGGGCTTCACATTTTAAGGAGGACATTCATGAGTTGCAGAGCATCCAATATGATGAGTGCTTGAGACGATGCCATGTGAATGTTGGTCGGAGGCTTCTTAGCCTGGCAAAGAGCAGACTTAGCAAGGCATGATGACAGCCCATGTATCCCATTGATATTCCTACAGTGTCAAAAGATCTGGAGGAAGACCCCCTAGCATGTCAGGGGGTTATTTGACAGAAGGACATGGGTAAGATTTATACTGGGTGGTTAGACATGGATGGGTATGACTTCTGAACTTGCCTCTAATCACCTCTATGACCTTGGGCAAGTCACTTTGCTTTTTGGGCCTCTGTCTTTTCATCTGTAAAATGAGAGGGTTTGACCAAATGACTTCTGAAGTCCCTCACAGCTTAGGGCTTTTATAGTTTTCTACCATCTAAGACCAGGCTTCATCATAATCTGGGCTGAGCCAGCTGTGATGCTTAGAAAGCTGTGAGAAAAGGGAGAAGGGGCATCTAGGCGGCACAGTGGATAGAACACCGGCCTTGAAATCAGAAAGGCCCCAGTTCAAATGCGACCTCAGACCAAACACTTGACACTTACTAGCTGCGTGACCCTGGGCAAGTCACTTAACCCTAATTGCCTAAAAAAGAAAAAAAAAGAGAAAAAAAAGAAAAGGGAGTCAAGCAGGCTATTACCATATTGGTTTTGAAGATCAATCAGCTTCCAGTCCAGTCCCCATTTGTCCCCTTTCATCTCTACCTATTAGAATCCATAGTTTCCTTCAAGGTTCGATTTCTTCTCCAATGAGACCTTTCCTGAGACCCCCAGATGTTTGGGCTCTCACCCCATTCTGAATGTGTGTGTGTGTGTGTGTGTGTGTGTGTGTGTGTATACACATGTTTTTATATTATTTAATTATCTATGTATTTGTTTTCTCTCTCCCCAGTTGAATACAAGCTCCTTGTAAGCATTAACTATTTCAGCCTCTCCTTTTTATTCCCATGTGCTGGGACACCTGGATAGCCCAGGTATCTTTTGCTTCTCTGGTGCTTGAGACAAAGTAGGATTTAATAAATGCTTATGGACTTCATGGATAAAGCCCTTGTTCCTGCTATGATTGATTTCTGTTGGTAATGATTTTATTGATATTTTTGAGCATCAAGTCTCAGTTTTTAAAAGTCAGTAAGATGTTAACTAGATCTCCATTGCTATCAACTTTTGACCTTTTACCTGTGCATGGAAACCTAAAATTCAGGAAGAGCCAGAAAGACTCTTCAACTTATGGCTTGAGGTTGCTTGGTGCAGGGAACAGAGTACAGTGAGAAATAATTCATTTGGACCCCTACTCTATTCCAATCAGTTTGATATTATACATAAATCATATAGGGATAGATAGGTTCTTGTAGTGGGCCTCAAACTTTAATGTAATGTTCACTGCTTGTTTACCAAGTTATGAGGCTCACTTGTACAACCATAACAATTCTGACAATGATAACTCCATCCTGTTTTGCTCCAGTTTCATATCCAAAGCCAACCTGGGTGGGACGCCTTGAGGCTTTGGAAAGTAACCCAACTTATTTTTGTACCTCCAGACTTCTCTCTCTTGTCCAACATGAGCAGGTGATTATTTTATGACCACTTAGTCAGTGGAGGTGCCCCATGCTTCACCCAACCTGTGATCCCCACCACTCACCCCTGCTGACATGTCTTTTTGGCAACATCTACCAACCAATGCGATTCTGTATTTCACCATGCCTCTTTTACATATTTGGGTATCAAACCCTATAAAAACAAGGTCCTGGAAGAAGGGGGCATCTCAGATCGTGAGGAAGACCTGAGGTCCACTTCATGAGAGGGAACCACAGACCCTTTAATGAAGAGCCATTGGCTCAGAGCTGTGCCTCAGTCTCTCTTATTGTGGGTTGGACAATTTTAATCTCCACAATACTGGCCTGGAAACCAGAAGACCTTGATTCTAATCTTGGCTTTTCCACCAGCCTTGGGCAAGGCAACTTCCTTGTGCCAAGTGTGCCCAACATTCCAGTGAAGAATGGTGCCGGGAAAGCTAAAGCCTAATGTGAACTGAGTTAGCTGAAAAATGTTCAGGATATCAACAGGGACCTTTGGTGGGGTTGGATTGGTCCCCTAGTTGGGATGCTGGCCAAGTAACAAACAATAATGGCTCGCTTTTGTGTACTGCTTTAAGTTTTGCAAAGTGTTTTGTATCCATCATGTCATTTGAAATAATGATCCTGTACTGTCAGTGCTATTATTGTCCCAATTTTGAAGATGAGGAAACTGATTCTTAGAGAGGGTAAGTGACTTGTCCAGGGTGATGCAGCTAGCACATGTCTCAGGCAGGATTTGAACTCAGGCTTCCTGACTCCAGGTGCAGCACTCTATCCATTATACCATACAACTTCTGTATAACAAACATCAGAGAGAAAGTAGAACTGTTTTGATTTTGTGTCTTCCATCGAGGAGCATGATTTTTGGATTTAAAAGGGTAGAACAAAAAGAGTGAAAAAGAAATCTAAACCAAAATGGTAACGTCTAGTAAGGTGGCAGAGGTCAATTTTTCATTGATACTCTCAAAAAAGGCAACAGAAATAGCAACAGAAAGCATAGAGAGAGAGCATATGCAGAAAAGGAATGGGGGAAGAAACGAACAAATGACAGAAAAGCTACAATGAATACTTAAATAATATTTATTTAAAGAAATCAAAGTGGGGGGAAAAGTGAACAATTAACACTAATCGTAACACCAGAAACAAACCTGGAATGTTTGCAAAACGAATCGATTGGGATCAACATGCTGAAAGGAAGAAATTAAATTAGTAACAAAGGAGCAAGAATAAAATGAGCATGAAGCTCGGTGATTTGGAAATATCCATGGGGATCATAAATAAAACAAGAGATTCACTGAGAAATAAAGTTGTTCCTCTGGACGTCCAGCAGAAACACAAGAGGCTTTAGCTAAAGAGCTTGAAGGCAAGGCTCCCGGAGAGAGCTTCGTCCTTGGGCGTCAACCACAGGCTGCTCACCAGGTTCCTGAACAAAGGCTTTCCAGAATGGCAAAGTCTGCCAGAGTCTGGACTTCCCGGGTGGAGCGCCTTCAAGAATCAAGGAAGAAAGCTATGTGACCCTGGGCAAGTCACTTAACCCCAGTGGCCTAAAAAAAAAAAAATAAAAAAAAAATCAAAGAAGGACCAGAAAAGTATTTCTATGGATGCAGATATGTCAAAGAGGGGAAGGTACTAGAAGAATAGGGGGCAGGAGAATCCCTCATAGTTTGATCATTTCAAAAAGGCCCTCCAAAGAAACAGCAGCAGTTACTGACCCACATATAACCTTTAGAATTTCTGGAAAATCTTTATGAGAATGCTCAATGAATTTATTTCAGATATTGCTGATGGAAACATGAGAAAAGAAGCAAGAGAAATTCATGGATATCTCCACCTGGCCATATCATAGGCATCTCTAACTCAATATGTGCAAAACAGAACTCATTGTTCCTTGCAAAACATAGTCCTCCTCTGAACTTCCCTATTTCTCCTGAGGTTACCACCATCCTTTCAGTTACCCTGTCTCCTACTCTTCCGTCCTTCTTTCTTTCCTTCCTTTTCTTCTTTCTTTCCTTCCTTCCTTCTTTCCTTCCTTTCTTTTTTCCTTCCTTCCTTCCTTCCTTCCTAGAAACACAAATCTACTTCAGGAGCCCTCAAAACAAAATAACAACTTGTTCTGGGACCATTTCTATCTGAACCTTCTCAGAAAAGGTGAGGAGATAATGATTAATTGTTAATAATAAATATTGTTTTGGCACCTGAAGTCTGCCTTCAGCTCCTTGGGTTCCTGCAGCCTGTTCTGGGCCTTTCACAGGCTTCATGCCTTCTTCTTTCCCCAGGCTTCATCAGGACATTCACTTCCTGTTCCTAGGCCAAATTACTTGCCCAGTATCCCTGGAACAGAAACCCTGAGAACCTTCTGTCACCTGGCCAACCTTCCAAAATGTCCCTGGTTAGAACAGAAAAAATAGAGAAAAGACCTGATTGCTACTCTCTCCCCTGTTTACCTAAGATATTGTCACATCGATTCCACTTAATTCAACAAACTCTAGGAATGACTTATTCAGTGCAGGACATACAAAGACAAAAAGAAACCCAGTAAATCCAGAAGGAGTCCAGGTGCCCCTGGGAGGACATAACACATATGCAGAGGAGTGAACACAAGATATACAAAAGATGATACACAGTCTTTCTCTAGTGCTTTCAGGTTTGCCAGATACTCTGCTTGGAATGTTATCTCTGTAGTGGCAGGGGTTGGAGTAGGGGAGGGGTGGCCCTTTGAACAGGAAAGCCCAGGGTAGGTAGGTGCCACCTGACCTGTGTTTGCTTTAGACTGATAGGGTTACCTGGGTGATGAAGCTACTGAGGTCGAGGAACTCCTGTTCTCTTGCTCCTCCTGGGTCCTTCCTTTCTAATAAGTGATTGATTGATGGAGAAAGTTATTTCGCTAAGTGCTGCATGCTATAAGTACTGCCTGCTCCCAACATCTCTACTGCCTCCCTAAATCAGTGTTTGAAAAGGAGCCACCCCTCCTGAATGTTTTAAGCAGATTTTGTCCATAATGAAGCAGACTGCTTTAGGTTTCAAGGGACAGAGCTGCCTTCCTAGAGCAGCAGAGAAAGCCAGGCATGACCACTTCTCCCCCCAAGACAAGTTCATGTGCAGGAGAAAACGATGTCTCAGTCTCACCCTCTCTTCCCACCACTCTGGGGCAAGAAGTTAGTAGAAAAGACTTTGAATTCAGCGAACATTAATTGATTTCTCCAGATCTCTTTGCTAGCATGAGGTTATTTAGCTGTCAATTAAAGAATGTGATTATTCTTAATAGTTCACATTTCTATATCCTTTAATGTTTCACATATCTCCTTTGATCCTATGAACAAGGTGTCGTACTTGGTCTAGTGAAAGATACAGAACCACAGAAGACACTGCGCTTGTAGTCAAGGATTTTCCATTAAGCTGTTAACTCAAATCCAGAAGTACTTTAAAAGCTGAACTGAAAATGACCTTGGAGGGTGGCAGCTTATGGGGGAAGCAGTGGCTTCTCCAGCTGGTACTGGAAAAAAAAAAGAAAGAGGAAGTTGGTGTGTGTGTCCTCAGCTGGTAAATCTTTCCTCCGTCTGTAAAGGGACAACACCCTCCCCCATTTCTGTGGTGGAGATAATTCTCTTCTGTTTAGTGTATGTTGAAAGTCATTTTGATATTATACAACTTAAAAGGGAGGCAGCAGAATAAAGGGGAATGAGATCTGACCTCGGAGCCAGAGGCACCTGGGTTCAGGCCCTTCCTCTGAATCTGACACAGAGTAGCCTTGTGACCAGAATGTCAGGTAACTCCCCTAAGACTGTAGTCATTTGTAAGAAGAAGAAGAAAAAGAGGAATAACTCACATTTATGTAAGGCCTACTATGTGCCAGGCACTGTGCTAAGCTAAGTGATTTATAATTTTTATCTCATTTGATCCTCACAACAACCCTTCGAGGTAAGTGCTATTATCTCCATTTTACAGATGGGGAAACTGAGGTTAAATGACTTTTCCAGGGTCACACAGCTAGTAAGTATCTAAGGGCATATTTGAACACAAGTCTTCCTGACTTCAGGTACAGCTCTTTATTGTGCCACCATACTGATTGGTATATTGTGTATTGGAAGGGTTAGTTTCTCCACTGAAAGGAAAGCCACCAGTCACTAATGGAGTCACAGGTCTAGTAAAAAACAAATGACCTTAGATAGGATTCTGGAAAGTTAATGATCTAGAATCGGGGGATGAGTGGCCATGAATGATGATGACGCATTAAAAAACATTTGTTAAGTGCTTACTGTGTTCAAGACCATGGGGTGAGCTAGCACCTCCAGCTACTTTTTGATCTCACATGGGAAGACTGACAACTCTCAGGAGCACCAGGGCACAAGGTCAGTGTGTTGATTAGTTTTTCCAGACTATACCTGATTATCACAAGAGAGGGCTTCTAGTGGAAGTGGACGGGCTGGGTTAATGGGTAGTCACATGCAAAAAAAGCATCATTAAAACACTTTTCAAAAATGAATGGAAGAAAAAAAATATACTAGGGGACACATTATAGGTAAAGAAGTATTGTTTCTATCTTGTTAAATTATGCACACACATTCACACAGATAGATGTATATATACATAGCATGGGAGCTGGCTTGGAATATACCCTGCGGAGCATACCTAGGGATGGGTGTGGAGGGGACACCCCATGGAATGCAAGCATAAGCTCCCCTGGCAATTTGGAGAGACATGTGTAGATCAACACAGAAGAGGCTGGAACTTTAAGATAATGTAGCAACCCTGAATGGTCCGTTGGTCTAAACCTCCATCCCATCACAGTGGCAGGAGCTGGGGAGGTGGGAGGGGGGCAGGGTGCTGCATCAATGAAAATGAAGAGAAAATTCTGTGTCTGTCTTTGTCTCCACTGTCCTCCCACTCTCTGCTTCCCCTCTCTCTCTCTCTCTGTCCCTCTCTGTCTCTGTCTGTCTCTCTCTCCACCCATATCTGTCTGCCTGTCTCTCTCCTTATTTCTTCCTTTCTATCTCTAGAATGTCCAATATATGACTCCATTGTCTGAGAAAGGTTAGAGAAGAGTGGTCACCCTTCCCCCACCCTTGCTGCCGACACCTGGCAGTGAACTCAAGCCCTGCCAAAGTGAACCTGAGCCTGGGACATGGGCTTCTGGATACCTCTTCTATTCTGTGATCCTTCTCTGAGCATGGGTGATTGAATAGCAATCTGGAGATGGATATGTCAAGCCTTAGAAGAATCCTCAGTTCAAAGGGTTGAGAGATTCTGGGTCCTTCAGTACAGCTGACTGGCAGGAGGAGGGACGTTCCACAGTCTTTCTCAGAAAGACAAATCACAAGCAGGATGATGAGCTGAGGGCAAGATGAAATGCTAAATTCGGAAGTCCCATAAAATACTTCATGTTTCAAAATATTTAAGTGAAATGTCCTTAGCCCCTTGGGCCCCACAGCAATTGTATATACTATTATATATACCTTTATGGCTTTTTTGGCTAGGCAGTGAGGTTAAGTGATATGCCCAGGGTCACACAGCTAGTAAGCATCAAGTGTCTAAGGCTGGATTTGAATTCAGGTCCTCCTCACTCGAAGGCCGGTGCTCTATCCACTGAGCCACCTAGCTGTCCCTATTACATATACTTCTTAAAAGACAAAGTGAACATAATATTCACTTGTCCCATTCTCATTCTTGTTATATTCCCAGATGTGTAACCATAGTTATGTTAGTTCTGTTTTAATGCACATGAATGAGTCTCTCGTGTTAGTCTATCTTGCGTGGAGGAAAGAAATAACTGCCCTATACTTGATGCACATTATACATTAAGCACTTTTCCACATCCTTTTTTCTTTTTTTTTTTCTTGGAGGTGACCCCCAGACATAAGCCAAACTTAATTAAATTTTAAGTAATTTTCCTTGACACTCTAGGGTAGGGATGTTGAGTTTGAGAAAGAGCCTAATCTTTCTCTGTAGACACCAGACCCCTACAGGACTGAACATTGTCCAATGGGTCCAGAATCTAGGAGAGCCTCCTTGTGGAGAGGGAGAGGGCAATTAACCCAACCCTCTGGTCCCAGCAGTAATTGTATATACTCCTATGTATACTTCCTAGAAGACAAACTGCATATAACAGTTTACAGTTTCTTATACAAGTTTCTTTCTTAGTCTTCATTGTATATTGAAATGTTTGTGTTTGTTGGAATTATTAAATTCAAGATAAAAAAAATTTTAATTAAAAATTATCTTTCCAGCAACCATGCTAATGTCAGCACCTAGCATCCCTTGAACTCCCTACTTCAGGCATAGTTTCATTATATAGCAGAATTAGTTGTCTATGTCACCAACCTGATTTCAACCTTCTACTTGACTCATTTAATCTTTTTCATCCTGAGATGTAGTTCCAGGGTTTGTTGTATGTTTCCTGATTAATTAATATGATTATAACATATTTCTTAATTAATGAAACTCAGAGCACCATCACCTCCAGTTTTTCAAATATTTATTTAATAAGTTGGAGAAACCCCCTTTCCTAATTGTAATTGCTCATATCTCTATCAAAATCCCTAATATCCTATGATTAACTCAATATTTAAGTTACTGCTATATGTTAACAATATAATTAATAATAATACAGACATAAGTAACTATTTACAATGTTTTGGTTATGAAAAAAAGTCATAGCCAGAGTCACCTTTAATATCTCTGTTATCACGGATGGCATAGCCTTACTTCTGGAAACACATCACTATTCAGTTCATTCATGGTGCTAAACAAAATCTCTTTTCTAGAATTCTCTTCACCCTCAATTTCATTCAGAAAGGAGTCTCCTATCTGCTTCCTCTTCATGACAATGAAAGTATCTCTAGCTTCTCTCAATCAATAAACATTTATTAAGCACCTACTATGTGCCAGGCCTTGTGCCAAGTACTGGGGTTACAAAAAGAGGCAAAAGACAGTCCCTGCCCTCACAGAGCTTACAATCAAGCCACCCTCTCAACAGTCTTTCCAAATGGACAGTTAAAAACAGCCATTTTCCCAACATTCCATTTGGCTCTTGATGTAGTAACAAGTATCTGCAGTCTAGGTGAGGCCTCTAATAAAACAAGTGCCACACTTTCTTCTACCTCTGGCTCATCTCAATCAGGTATCTCTCCATTGTCCTCATCAGAGACACCCTTTGACTGTTTGGATGCCTCAAGAGGGGGTTAGGAGCCTGATACCATCTCTAGAGTTAATCACATTTTTTTCTGCTGACCTAAATATAGCAGCAAATCCAGTCTTCCTTTAAGGTGCCAGTCTTTCATGATGTGTGAAATGGCATTTGGGCATGGTGACTGTCCCTCAGGGGTCCCATGTGGATTTCTCCAGTCCCTATCTCTCTGTCTCCAGAGGTTCCTGACTCTATGAATCAGGATTGTGTAACAGAATGGGGGCTCCATACGTAGTGAAGTTCCACGTGTGGCTAGGGCTTGACCCTCATATGTGGCATAGAAGTGTCCTTGTGTGGCTCAAACAGAGCATTTCTAGCCTCTTTTTCCCCATCTTTTTTCACGATAGACTTTAATTCCTGCCATTAAGGGAAGTAAGAAGCTAGGACCTGAGGCTACTCCGCTTTCCTGAGAGGTGATATTGGGATAGAGTTATCTTATCTCCTCCCTTGAATATTGTTAGTCTAGGGGATATGATTGGGTTCAGTCTAACTTCTGATAGCTGTGCCATTATTATTAGAGGTAAGAGGGACCCCAAGCTCTATATTCAAAGCTTTCTCCCTTTCCCACCTAATACCAGGTCCACAGCAGACATACAATGAATAGCACAGAAACCCATTTATCTAAATCATAGCAAAACAGAAATCAGAAAAGGTATACAAAAGAAAATATATGCCAAATGATACAGAGTAAAGGAGCTCTCCCATTGGGAATGAGGTAACTCAGCTCAATCAAGAGAGAGAGTCCTGGATCTCACCCAAGGGGAAACTCCCCAAAGTCTCTAGTATAACAAGCTGAGAATAGGGTCATGATGGGGACTGTCCCCTCTTCTCATGTTCTCAGAGTCTTTTCCTTCAGCAACATGAAGTGCGGTTGGTGTCTTCCATCTTCTCTTTTGAAGCTGGCTGCCAGGAGTACCCAAAGTGACTCAGTACCTGAAGACCTAAAGCTTGAAGTATCCCAAAGAAGACTGAAAAAGGCTAGAGCTCTCCTAGTGTTGCCAACTCTGTCCTGCCCCTCATGCGAGGGAGGGCATTCATCTCCACCAATCAGGAGGAAGTTACATGCCAATGGGCTTTGGAACGAGGTTCTTCTTTCTTATAGAATACATGGGTCTTCAGTGCCACCCTTTGCCATATCCTAGAAAGTTTCACTGCTTAACCAGGTGGAGGTGGGTGCTATGGGAAACTTAGTGGGTGACCACAAAAGAAACTTGACTTTTAAAAGAGGAAGAGGGGCAGCTAGGTGGCACAGTGGATAGGGCACTGGCCCTGAAGTCAGGAGGACCTGAGTTCAAATGTGGCCTCAGACCAAACACTTGACACTTACTAGCTGTGTGACCCTGGGTGAGTCACTTAGCCCCAATTGCCTAAAAAAACCAAAACAAAAGCCAAAAACAAAAACAAATAAAAGTGGAAGAAACAAGGGTGGCTTCTGTCCATCAGAGAGAGCTAAGATGATTCTGACAGCATCTAGGAAGGCACCTATGAGGCTCATCTGGCTGTCAATAAATGGAGACCCAGATGCTGGCTTCACAGAAGGGGGTAGCTTGCTTTAACAAACATGTAGTGAACCTACTAAGACACATGTGCACACACACACACACACACACAGGAATTATATGAATGCAACTACAAAACACTTTATAGAAATACAAACAAGAGTAATTGGAGAACTGTTAATTGTTCATGGGTAGGCCAAGTCAATATAATAAAAATGACAGTACTTATGTTAATTTACTTATTCAGTGCTATACCAACCAAACTACCAAGGGATTACTTTACAGAGCTAGGAAAAATCACAATAATGTTTCATCTGAAGAAACAAAAGCCAAGAATCTCAAGGGAAATAATGGGGGGGAGGGGGAAAGTGGGAAGGAAGGGAGCCTAGCAGTACCAGATCCCAAACTATACTATGAAGCAGTAATCGTCAAAATGATTTGGTTCTGAGTAAGAAATAGAGAGGTTGATTAGTAGAAAAGCTTAGGTACACAGCATATAGAAGAAAATCAATGTAGTGGACTTGTGTTTTGATATGTCCAAAGACCCCAAATCCTAGGGGTCTCATTATTATTAAACTCATTATTAAACAAAAACTTCTAGGAAAACTGGAAAGCCCTGTGGCAGAAAATGGATATAGACCAATATCTCATACTGTATACTAACATAAGCTTCAAATGGGTACATGATTTAGACATAAAGGGTGACATCATGAACAAATTAACAGAACAAGAAAGAAATCACATTTCAGATTTATGGATAAGGGAACATTTCATGAGCAAACAAGGGATAGAGAAGATCACAAGATAAAATGGGCAATTTTGATTGCATAATATTGAAAGGTTTTTATATAAACAAAACTAATGTAGACAGAATCAGAAAGGAAACAAGTAACTGGGTAAAAAAAATTTTTTTCTTTTTGCAGCAAATTCTTCTGATAAAGATTTAATTTCCAAGATGGTCTAAGAAATAGATTTAAATATATAAGAATAACCATTTTGTGACTGATAAATGATCAAAGGATATGAACAGTTTTCAAGGGAAAAAAATCCAAGTTATCAATAGCCATATGAAAAAAATTCTCCATATTACTAATAATTAGGAAAATGTAGATTAAAACAACTCTGAGGTTCAGAGGAATCAAACACCTTACACATATCAGAATGGCAAAGGTGACAAAAAACATAAATGGCAAATAATGAAGGGGCTGCATGGTACTGGGAATTAATTGGTCCAGTAATTCTCAAAACCAATTTGAAACTATGCTCCCAAATTTACGAAACAAAGGTGCCCTTTGACCCAGCTATACCAATACTAGACCTGTATCCTAAAGAGGTCAAAAAAAGAGGAAAAAGACCTACTGTACAAAAATGTTTATAGCAACTCTTTCCATAGTTTGCAAAAAACAAGAAACTAAGACGTGCCTGTCAGTTGGGGAATGGCTAAACAGATTATTGCATGTAATGTGCCGTGAGAAATGATGAAAGGAATAGTTTCAAGGAAACCTAAGAAGACTTGTATGAACTGATACAGAGTAAAGTGAGTAGATCTAGGAGAATATTTTGTAAAATAACTAACATTGTAAAGACAATTTTTAAAGACCTTAGGACTCTGATCCTAATGACAATCCATGATTCTAGAAGACCAATCATAAAGCACCTTACCCACCTCCTTTCAGAGAAGTGATGGTCTCAGATATAGAATGAAACATTTTTTTGACATGGTCAGTGTGGAATTTATTTTGCTTGACTACTCATATTTGTTATGAGTTTTGTTTTTCTTTATTTTCCCCAGTGGGGTGAGGGAAGGTGAGAGGGAAAGAAAATAAATTTTGTTAATTTTTAAAAGTTAAATTAAATTTTATTTTTATTAATTTTTGTTTTCAACAATCATTTCCATAAGCTTTTGAGTTTTAAATTTTCCCCCCTCCCTCTTTTTCCCTCTCCCCAAGACAGCATGCAACATATACATTCCTATTAAACATATTTTTGCACTAGTCATGTTGTAAGGAAGAATTAGAACCAATAGGTGGAACCACAAGAAAGAGGAAACAAAACAAAACAGAAGAGGAAAAAAAGAGTAAATAACATACTTCGATCTGCATTCAGATTCCATAGTTCTTTCTCTGGATGTAGATAGTATTTTCCATGTTGAGACTTTTGGAGATGTCTTAGATCCTTGCATGGCTGAGCAGAGCTAAGTCTGGCAAAGTCAGTCGTCACACAACATGGCTGTTACTGTGTGCAACATTCTCCTGGTTCTGCTCACTTCACTCAGCATCAGACCATACAAGTCTTTCCAGGTTTTTCTGAAGTCCACCTGCTCATCATTTCTTATAGCTCAAAAATATTCCATTACATTCGTATACCACAACTTGTTCAGCTATTCCCCAGTGGATGGGCATCCTCTCAATTTCCAATTCTTTGCCACCACAGGAAGAGCTGCTATAAATATTTTTGTACATGTGGGTCCTTTTCCCATTTGTATGATCTCTTTGGGATACAAAGAAGTGGTATTGCTGGGCCAAAAGGCTATGCACATTTTTATAGCCCTTTGGGCATAGTTCCAAATTGCTCTCCAGAATGATTGGATCATTTCACAACTCCACCAGCAATGCATTAGTGTTCCAATTTTCCCCCATCTTCTCCAACATTCATAAATTCAATTTTAAATGAAAAGAAGAAGAAACAGAAAAGAAGAAAACAAACAAAAAAAAAGTTCTAAATGAAAGGAAGAAAAAACAAATAAGTAGCAATTAAATGTTAGATAAACCCAACTGCATGACCCCTTTTCTGAGGAGTGAAAGTTAACTGGTTCCTGCCTTATTAAAAATGGACACCAGATCCTCCAAACCAAGTCATGGTTTTGATGAGATTAGAAAGTATGGATTCCCAGAAAGTCACTTTGGTGATAGAGACAGGATTGTGAGGCAAGACAATCCCTAGCAATGACTAGAAGACCAAAACAACACCTAAGAAATATTGGCTCCTATGCAGAGCCTTGACTATTCCAGGGCAAAGGGGTGTCG